GCCGGCTCGTCAGGGGAGGCAAGTGAGACTCAGCCTAAACCTAACTATTGTAAAGAAAAAGGAGCTATATGTACTATAATTAAAGTTATTTCCAATCGACTTTAAGAATATTATATTTAATAATATAATATACATTTTAAAATACAAAAGCTTTTTGTTATTATATTATGTTATTATAATAACAAAACAAATTTATTTTGTAGTGTATAATATTAATTATCATGGTACATAATACACCAATGTTATCAAAAATCACGATGAAGATATTATTGGAACGATAAAACGATCTCAACGAAAGCCGAAGAGTGCCGAGAGGCTACTAATATTTAGCATCAGACAAGTTGGATGGCGGTACGATTATAAAATATATCATGACAGAAGCGGAAGTCAAAATTTTATTATGAAATGTGGCTAAACGATTCGGGTCTCAGAGTTTGTCAACATTATCCATTAGTCATTTGTCGAACCGACATAACTTCCACTATAATATAAATAGGAACTGGGAGGTTGTTATAATGTCCTATTCTTTGGAGAAACAAACTTCTCTTCTTCAAATTAGAACCTTTACTGTAAATTGTTGAAAAGATGATTTTTAGACAAAATTGAACTAGGTATCGGTTTCCGAGGTGTGCAATTTTTTTAAAGTTTACAATGTCCATAATAACAGATTAATAAAATAAGTGGATGATGATTTAAAAATTAAAGTAATTAATATTCAGTTATTACCATTTGACAGTTTGTATAGTACTAAATAGTACATGTATGTTATGTTGGGAAAATTGGACGCAAAATAATAAATAAAAAAATGAATACAAATATAAATGATCACAAATTAAAATATTAAACACAATAATTAAAAAATTGTTATCTATTTATTATAATACCTCAAAAGATAGATCAGTATTAAAATACTTAAAAAGAAGTAATATCAAAAAAGTGCTATCTATTTAATATACATATATATATAGCGATATTTGCATTAACTTAAGCAGCGTCAGAGTTACGAGTATGATTTTTTATATGCTTATGAATAATTTAATCGGTTTTATCAGTATGCACACGAGCTTTGCATTTTATTTTGTATCTACATAGCCAAAAACGTTTTGACCCGACAGAACTAAAAGCGTCATTTAAGTACCTACTTACAACCAGCATTCAACAAATTTCACCATCGAAATTCGAGTAAATTAACTATATACTGTTTATTTGTACAGAATAATGACATGACCTGCACGACTATTATAATTTATGAACGTGTTCTGTATGTATTACCGTATTGAGATTAAGTTTAATATAAATGGCTGTAATAACCATAACCAATAGGTAACGCCTACTATTAGATATAGCCAGTTGTTATTTTTGATAATTTATTTATTTTTACAGTAAACATTACTTATAGACATAACACATTTGATTATTCCTGCACATCTTTTGTAAGTTGCATTTGTGTTAGATGTGTAGTTCTCAATATTATGTATTGTATTGTATTTATATACGTATTGTATAGTATTAAAAAAAAGTACTATACGATACCATTGGTTATATTACGTACATATTGTCATTGGATTATAATACATATAAACCAGAATTAAAACTTGATATTATCACATTTATGAATAAGTATTTTAAGTAAGTACTTATCATAGTAGTATTGTTGGTTGGTGACGCCATGGAGCACTTTTGAGTAATACGCTGCTATATAAAACCAGCGCTTGAAGACAGACAATTGGCATATTGAACTATTACTTTAACAGATATTTTCTATAATAGTACTACATGAAACACCAAGTTTTTCTGTCCCCATAATGCACAAAGTGACAATGGGAACTTTCGAAATAAAGCAAAAATCTGATATAATTTACGTGTATTTACGCGTGCAACAATTATTTTACTATAAGTAAATGTAATTAGTAGTATTAATGTAATTAAGTAATTTCTATTTATGATTATAAGCTGTACTATGTATCGATTTTATCATATCGTTTTTAAATCTATACTAGAACATAACTATAAAATCGACTGCAAGTAAAAACTACTGCTATATCAGTAAGTACTAGAATAAGTGGTCACGTGGACCAATTTAGGCATGATTTTTATCGTTTTAATAGTTCTTAATGTGCTACTTTGTATACACCACTTAATTTATAAAATTATGTATTATATTAAGTTTTTGTAAATATTTAAATACTGGTCTATTTTTGGCGTGCTATAATAAATAGACGTACTTTTTTGATATTGTATTTCGATTTTTTAATTTTACTTTACTAATATTTGTATTTGTATTTTTTTTTTACTTCCAGTTTTTTGCTATAAAATATTTCATTATGTGTTAGTATGAAAGGATGTATCTATTTATTATTATATACATATACTTTTGCATTTAACAATAACGTACCTACGGGCTACGAATCTACTCAAAGATTTAAACACATGCAATAAATATTATGTAATATATAATAGGTAGGTAGGTATTTTTCATTAATTATGCTCATTCTACTTGTATCCTTTAATCAAATATTTATTCAAATTCTGATTTTTTTTAAACATTTTTTCTGAGTGCATTTCATCGTATTACAGGTATCGAGTGGCATGCTCTAAATCTACGATCGTCTTAGCCTCTGAGTCCACGAACCTCCCAAATCAATTCGATTAGCACTGTTAGCACGATAGCTTTGCTGTTTGATGCATGTCCCTTTTAAAGAAGATGACTAGAAATTTCATTTAACACAGTGCAGTTCAGTTTAATACTTAAGCTAACTTTCCAGACTGAAAGGCATATAATATCTCGAAACTGTTCTATTTAATTGGTAAAAACGTCAAACGTTTACAGTAAAACTATGATCATTAGTTTTTGATCGGAAACACCACATTTGATTAAAATAAAACACTCATCACGCGTTACATCCGCTGCTTATTAAAAATAAATGGGTATAATTGTCTGCAAGGAAAAAATCATTTCAATATTTTGTGTTTGCTTCAATCATATTATTATTTCATACTTAAGGATGATTAAAACAAATAAATAAAATTACATTAACTATGAAAAATGATGTAGGTTGTTATTATTTCAAATTTAATTTAACTGTTTTTCAATTTATTGTTTATTATAAGTTATATATTTTATTGCGTACAATTATTTGTGTACCAATACTAAAAATTAGTTATAGGGCATATCAAAATAAAAGTGTATTTGAAAAATATAGGTATGATTGTATGAAACATGTGATAAAAAAGGGTTCTGTAGGCACTAGGCATTTAGTGTCAATATGTATTGAATGATTTAGCCTGAATTCGTCTTTGGGTGCACAAAAAATGCATACTAGGGAAAGTGGCAAATGCATTATAAACTATATTATATGATATTATGTTTCACACTGAGTTTATAGTTTATACCGTAAAGGACCAGTGAGTTGGGCTTTCGACGGAAAAAAATAGGGTGCTTGCAAATTACGGGAGGGTATAGTAACACGTCATATCTTCTCGGTCGAAATTGTTCATAAAGTACTTTACATCGCTTTACTACTCACGTCATTCGAATTGTTTTCTTTTAAAACACCGTGAAATATTTGACGTTTAGCCCATCGGTCTACCTTGTATATGCCTAACTAACGTGCCTGGTCATTCTACTATCCGAAATCGCTTAGATGGTTTTATATCCTATCGGACACTGGTCACTAGTAATATATATACATCATATACGAATGCATTTTAACCTATCGTTTACTTTACTTAGCCATATGTAATCGTAGCAGCGTGCAAAACAAATGTTTAGCTACGATAGTACTAAACAGTAGATAGGTCGTTGCGTTCGTCATTGTCATACACAAACTCGTCGTTGACATGTTCAACGTATCGTAAATAATGATTACGGAAAACAAATCGGTGACTTCTTCGCGAACCGTATTAAAAATGCTATTATCTCTTAACGTGCTTCTTCATACATATCACAGTATATGCTATATCGAAGCCTTTATATAATACGTCATATAATGTAATAGAACATCACGGTACCGTATATAAATTCGAATTTGTCCAGTCGTGTACGTATCGATGTTTACCGTAAAACGACGTTCGACTAGTCTATATAATAATAATAATAATAATAATGAAACCTCGGCGGTATCTACGACTGTTGCAGAACAACAATACGGCAACGATAATATATTATATACAGCGATTCAAAATGCGTTTTGTCGTCCGAACAGAATACTAGTTTTAACTTTTATATTATTATTCGGTCGCGGACAACGACGCGGATTGATTGCGCTGACTATGCGTATACCCACTTATATTGTAATATTACTTAAAGTACTTGGCGAGCAGCGGATTTTTGCCCGCCGACGAATAATTAATCACGAGGTGTTTGACATATATACGATGATAATATTAATAATAAATAATTATAATAACAGAACGATTTTTCGTTTTGTTCTTGCCGAGTGCAGTTGAACCGATTTATTCGCTTGTAACGGCACAAGAGTCCGCGATGTGCGATCAAAATTATTACATAAAAAACGACTGCGACGACAACTGCGACGACGACGTTATAATATTATATTGTGACAAGCGTAATTTGGAATCATCACGCCGCTGCACCGGAACGCGTCCGCGGAAATCCCGTTATCGAGCAGATACCTATACGGTAATACGGTGTTTATACTATGTATCTGCGCAGTATCTATACTTCATAACATTATATATATTATATACGTATGTACCCGACAGCGGTGGTGGTGGCGGTCATCGGAGGACAGACGAACCGCGACCGTATAGTGTTACGTTGTTACCACGAGCTAGCCCATCTCATAGAACGTATATAATTATAGTAGGTACCTAATACAATTTATAATAATTTATAAATTATATTATTATTGTAATAATAATATTGTACACATATACGGTGATAGTTGAGTATTTTTTCATTTTTATTCGATAATTACTAGCTAAAATGTATATAATAATTAATTAACAAGAGGTAAAAGAATTTAAAAAAGAAATTGTTTAAGAAATAAACTAATGTTAAACGATAAATTTATATCTGCACATATTTAATATGAATACATATTATTATAGGTACATAGTTAATAAATTTAATATTGAATATTAATATCTCACCTCCATTCAAATTTGAAGAATCCAAACGTTTGAGAAGTGTTAGGGCATGCTTATCCTTTATAGATGATTTTCTGATCTCAATCAAACGTTTGGAAAACTTTTCCCAGGAATTCTTAAAATCTTCATGTGTATTAGTTTTTTGGTATCCAATTTTAAAATCCTCCAGAATCTAATGATAATAATATAATTTATTATTAGATTTATTTATTACATACATCTAAATAGAATAATAAATGAAAAATAAATGTACATACTAGTTCATAACTATTAGGACCTTGAAATATTGGCCATGCTTTAAACACATCAGATAAGGAAGTTAAATCAAATATGTCATTTTTCCTTAAGTTAAAGGTGAATTCCCACTTGTCTCTAATATCATATAAATTAAAATTTAGCCCATCAGAAATAAGCCATTTTTTAACTTCAAGTACTTCATCTAAAATAAATATAAAATAATTAGTTTCTAAAGTTTTAGGTATTGAAGGTAATTTATAATTTACCTGAAAAATGTATAGACTGGGATATTGTATTTACAGTTTTTGATGGCTTTACTCTATCATATGATATAGCACCAACACATCTTAGCCTACGTGCAACATTCTTCCATCTCTCAATTAACTTTCCTTTTGCATGCGTTTGATGACTACCTTCAGTTTTTGACGGGATAAAATAAACAGACTGTAAATAATAAATTATAGTAATATTAACATAAAATGTAATAAACAATAAAGTTATTAAATAGGTATTACATTAATTTTCATTAAATTCTATAGGTAATTTGAAATATTAAGTTTAAAATTACAGTTCAACAGTTGCAATAGGTAAGTTGATACTATAGTATATTACTACCAATAATCAATATACCTAACATGCTATAATGCATTTTAATGTATGTGTTTGTACCTTACCTTTTGTTCTTTTGGAAAAACTTCCACTATCAGCTCTGTAATTTTTCTGAAGAACAAATCATTTCCTCTATAAAACAAAATTCTAATATGAAAAAATAATTTAAATAATTTAAAGAAACATTTAAGAGTTTACAATCAGAAATATTTGTTTGTAGGTACCTAAATCTTATTAATGAGTTAATAATATAGTAATGATACTATTTAAGGTAACAAATTATAAAAATCTAAACATAGGAACATACTTGTGCTGGTCTTGTAAAAGATGGTTAATTAAGAGTTGTGTCAATAAATTTTTTGAATCATCAGATAAATTTCCACTATTTTTCACACTATCTGCAAGAATGTACCTACCATCAATTGTTGTGTGCAATAGATTTAACATTGTCTATAAAGAAAATTATACTGTTAATTTTATCATAAATAGTTCTAACAATGTCTTAAGTGATAACTTTACTTCAATTGTCCATGTCATTGGTTTATATGACCCATATTTAGCGTTGTTGGAATAAGGCGATTTATCTAATTGTTTTTCTAAATTTGAACTCAATGGACTTGTAGGATATGATATATCTTGTAAAATAGAATTTGAACAATCTGGTAGATTAGTCATAATATGCAAAACTTCAGTAGCATTACTCGGTGATGGAAAATACTAAAATTACATAATGGTTATAGATTTAAAACCAATATTTACAACAAAAACAATATAATATTAGACCGTCCTAAATATCTTAAAAGATTAAAAGTTGTATTAATTGTATACCCAAATACCTATTCACAATTTATTTTAAACATAATATTATAGATTAACATGTTAAAATGTAAGGAACCTAGGTCATAAATATTTTAAAGCGTTGGTACTTACTTATGTCACAGCATATAGATTATAATTGAATAATATCTTACCTCAACGGATTCGTCCAGTGTATTCATTTTATTTTAACAACACTTCACAACACTATACAGAAGTTACAACAGTGATCAAAAATGTAAGTTGTAACTGTATTAATTGACTAAAACCACTGACAACTGACAAGTCTATACTCAACAAGACTATGAAGAGAATTGCGATTTCCCGACTAATGACTATGCGAGTGGCGTACTTATTAAGGCTTTAATCACTGATAAGCAAACGAGTAAACGAGTTAGTTTACAAATTGGTATCGATTTTGTGGTTTTCTTCTTTCGCGCTAAAAATAGATATTAACACAATAATAATTCAACAATCATTGATAACATCAGCCCCTGATTAAAACAACACTATTAAAGTTGAAATAACAACAGCGCATTGCCAATTTCAACTCAAATTGCAGTTAAAATGAATGATTTATTAGCTGGTTAAAATAAACAAATTATAATTGCTAAGATAATTACATTTCATGTTATTTTCAATCTATAAAAGTTTTATATTAACAAGATTATATTCAAATTAACTATATTAATAAGTTGAAATAATAATATGTATATTGTTATTTTAATATTAACTATAGTCAAACCATATAGTTTAAATATACTCCTGTTGGTGTTAATTCAAATACAAAATTTGTCTAATTAACAACTACACTGTCAACAACATTGTAAAAAGTTAAATCAACAATAGTATTTCTATGTGTGTANCTGAGTGCATTTCATCGTATTACAGGTATCGAGTGGCATGCTCTAAATCTACGATCGTCTTAGCCTCTGAGTCCACGAACCTCCCAAATCAATTCGATTAGCACTGTTAGCACGATAGCTTTGCTGTTTGATGCATGTCCCTTTTAAAGAAGATGACTAGAAATTTCATTTAACACAGTGCAGTTCAGTTTAATACTTAAGCTAACTTTCCAGACTGAAAGGCATATAATATCTCGAAACTGTTCTATTTAATTGGTAAAAACGTCAAACGTTTACAGTAAAACTATGATCATTAGTTTTTGATCGGAAACACCACATTTGATTAAAATAAAACACTCATCACGCGTTACATCCGCTGCTTATTAAAAATAAATGGGTATAATTGTCTGCAAGGAAAAAATCATTTCAATATTTTGTGTTTGCTTCAATCATATTATTATTTCATACTTAAGGATGATTAAAACAAATAAATAAAATTACATTAACTATGAAAAATGATGTAGGTTGTTATTATTTCAAATTTAATTTAACTGTTTTTCAATTTATTGTTTATTATAAGTTATATATTTTATTGCGTACAATTATTTGTGTACCAATACTAAAAATTAGTTATAGGGCATATCAAAATAAGAGTGTATTTGAAAAATATAGGTATGATTGTATGAAACATGTGATAAAAAAGGGTTCTGTAGGCACTAGGCATTTAGTGTCAATATGTATTGAATGATTTAGCCTGAATTCGTCTTTGGGTGCACAAAAAATGCATACTAGGGAAAGTGGCAAATGCATTATAAACTATATTATATGATATTATGTTTCACACTGAGTTTATAGTTTATACCGTAAAGGACCAGTGAGTTGGGCTTTCGACGGAAAAAAATAGGGTGCTTGCAAATTACGGGAGGGTATAGTAACACGTCATATCTTCTCGGTCGAAATTGTTCATAAAGTACTTTACATCGCTTTACTACTCACGTCATTCGAATTGTTTTCTTTTAAAACACCGTGAAATATTTGACGTTTAGCCCATCGGTCTACCTTGTATATGCCTAACTAACGTGCCTGGTCATTCTACTATCCGAAATCGCTTAGATGGTTTTATATCCTATCGGACACTGGTCACTAGTAATATATATACATCATATACGAATGCATTTTAACCTATCGTTTACTTTACTTAGCCATATGTAATCGTAGCAGCGTGCAAAACAAATGTTTAGCTACGATAGTACTAAACAGTAGATAGGTCGTTGCGTTCGTCATTGTCATACACAAACTCGTCGTTGACATGTTCAACGTATCGTAAATAATGATTACGGAAAACAAATCGGTGACTTCTTCGCGAACCGTATTAAAAATGCTATTATCTCTTAACGTGCTTCTTCATACATATCACAGTATATGCTATATCGAAGCCTTTATATAATACGTCATATAATGTAATAGAACATCACGGTACCGTATATAAATTCGAATTTGTCCAGTCGTGTACGTATCGATGTTTACCGTAAAACGACGTTCGACTAGTCTATATAATAATAATAATAATAATAATGAAACCTCGGCGGTATCTACGACTGTTGCAGAACAACAATACGGCAACGATAATATATTATATACAGCGATTCAAAATGCGTTTTGTCGTCCGAACAGAATACTAGTTTTAACTTTTATATTATTATTCGGTCGCGGACAACGACGCGGATTGATTGCGCTGACTATGCGTATACCCACTTATATTGTAATATTACTTAAAGTACTTGGCGAGCAGCGGATTTTTGCCCGCCGACGAATAATTAATCACGAGGTGTTTGACATATATACGATGATAATATTAATAATAAATAATTATAATAACAGAACGATTTTTCGTTTTGTTCTTGCCGAGTGCAGTTGAACCGATTTATTCGCTTGTAACGGCACAAGAGTCCGCGATGTGCGATCAAAATTATTACATAAAAAACGACTGCGACGACAACTGCGACGACGACGTTATAATATTATATTGTGACAAGCGTAATTTGGAATCATCACGCCGCTGCACCGGAACGCGTCCGCGGAAATCCCGTTATCGAGCAGATACCTATACGGTAATACGGTGTTTATACTATGTATCTGCGCAGTATCTATACTTCATAACATTATATATATTATATACGTATGTACCCGACAGCGGTGGTGGTGGCGGTCATCGGAGGACAGACGAACCGCGACCGTATAGTGTTACGTTGTTACCACGAGCTAGCCCATCTCATAGAACGTATATAATTATAGTAGGTACCTAATACAATTTATAATAATTTATAAATTATATTATTATTGTAATAATAATATTGTACACATATACGGTGATAGTTGAGTATTTTTTCATTTTTATTCGATAATTACTAGCTAAAATGTATATAAGTAGGTACTAAGGTATATAGGCAGGTATTCCTTCTACTCATGAATTAAAAAAAGATATTGTTTATTCAACTATACCCTTGTAGTATGTATAACCCATATATAAATACGCGTGTGTAGAGATTGAAATATGCGTCACAACAGAATATAATATACAGTATGATTCACTGAAAATTCTCACCCCCATTTTTTAATTTAATAATGAAGTTATTATTTAAATGTTGAGTTTTGGAATTTTAAATAGCTTTGCTTGTACACTAGTGTAACAAGTTGTTTAAATAGTTATTAACTTCAATAATGTAACATAATATAATATTCCCCTATTCCTTTTTAGCTTAACCTACAATATCATTATAGTATATAGTACCTATATGGGTATATGACTATATGGATATATAATATAGATTCGTATGGCAAGGACAAATTATTATCCCTCGATATAATTTTCTACAAGTTCCGTGTAAACAATATAATTTCTAAATCTTTGTTATAATATCTTTGTCGCATCGTTGTTGGTTGATATACTTATTAGTAACTGTAATGAATTATAGTATTAAATAATACTAAAATGCTAAATTAATAAATTATCATGAAATAAAGTACCTACTAATATCAAAATAAATATAAAATTTAAACAATTATAGTAAAAAGTACATAATATGTAATGTTCTCTGTTCACCAAGATTCAACACTCTGATTATGCTCATCCTCTTCATGCAACACCCTGCACCCATCGAGACCGGTTCCACTCTGGCAGGGTGTCACGTGGGAATGTGTAAATGAGCTGATTTTTGTCAGGACTGGCGTGTTTTTTTGCTGGGCGGAGTAGAGGTGTTAAATGTTAATTTTGCAGTGACCCTGTAAAGGTTGTAAATAAACCTAACATTTAAAATTCGGTGTTAAGTGTATACAAGTGTATATTTATGTGCGTTTTCATATATATGCATACAAATATCGCTGTAGAAATTAAATCTTATAAGTATCATAATTTGTACTAATATTTTCAAAGTAACATACACGCCAATAATATACGTATACTCTACTCCGGTTCTCCTCAATTTGCATTTTCGATAATTTTTTTGCATAAACATTTAGTATATTAAAATTGTATGAATTTGTTTTTGTAATTCTCACTTCTCCCGTTTACCGGGAAAGTAAAATCGTTCAGGGGTCACGAGATATAATTATATATAACATACGTTAGTTGGTACTTTGAGAAATAAAACTGAAATGTTGCTGACGAGCGCACAGTAAACATACATCCTAAATGCAGAGTATTCATATACTGTATATAATAAGCAGTGGCGTATATAGGGGGGAGGCCCCCTAGGCCAGAGCCCATAGTGAAATTGCAGGTTCAATTAAAGCATTGCATGTATATTTACACTGTTAACAGTTTTTCACCTTGATTAAGTTAGCCGGTTGATTAAAATCATTTTTGAGTAATCTACAAGGAAATGTTAGATATATTGACGGGACTTGCTTAATGACTTATTGACTTTGATGTTAAATTCATAGTAAGATAACATTAAAATATACAAACGACACTGTCAATATTTTTAAAAAAAGAAACAAAAAATTAATTTTACATAATAATTATAAAATTGAATTGCGCAATTTTTATTTGAACTGTATAATAAGTCATAATTCTTAATTATATAACAGCTGCTCCCTTAAAAATGTATAATTATGGCTATGCTGCTTGATTAGTGATAATTGATAAATCGGCCCATAGTGAAAATAATTCGTATATACGCCACTGATAATAAGTATAATATTATATTATAATATTTGCAATTAACAGAAATGAAAAATTCCTGAGAACTCTTTTTATTTCATTCTCAATTTGTATTTTACCATCACCATTCTGTATCATACATAAAGAATTTAGAAAAATAATGTAATTATTACGACATTATAATTTATAACAACGACAACATTAACATACCGTATAGATTCTTAGTATCATAAATATTTTAAGATATATGTGTGCAGTAGAGGGTGGCATCCATATAAGTAATTCGTATACTGAGTGTATTGTACATATTGTTAACGAACTATCCTTTAAAATACAGGTCGACAAAGGCATTTGTCTGTGTTAGTTCTTGCCTGTATAGACAGTAAAAACGACTACCACGTATGGAATAATAAAGGCTTTACCCAGACACTTCCTACCTCCACGACATCTTCATCAGAATATAAAAAAAGGCTGTTTATAAGCATTAGCGAATTGCGCTTGGTAGGTATTGTTTTAATTGTTTCGAACTTTAGAATTAAATTTAGCAATTTGAAAAGATTACTGGTTTAAATTCTGTAGTATAAATAGGCTTTTGATTTCATATTGTAGTGCGCATTCGTATAGTACCTAGAATACTTTACATTTTATAT